CGATTTTTCATCTCAAGACCTATAAAAGCTACAGGGCTGAAACTTTGGGAACTTAATCTACATGCAAGTACGGACTCTAATCCCCAAAATGGGCGCTCTTACCCGCGTGGTACCCAAGTACGAGCCCGTGAAAGTTTTTTTCGGGTAAATTGCTAACTCGGGAATCTGAGAAGCTAAAAGACTGGAAGTTCGAGGGAATGTTCCCCATCCAAGAGGGTATTAATGAGCCTTTTCCTTTCGCCTACAGGGCCTTTATGGCTGGCACTGCCTTTTACTTTACTACATTAATGAGTTCAAACCAGCCCTGGGTATGCGTGGTTCCTATGTACGGGCCCGTAAAAGTTTTTGCGGGTAAGCTACTAACTTGGGAAACAGGAAAGCTGGAAGGGTGAAATCTTAAAGGGATGCTTCCTGACAGTCCTGGCGGCTAGTCTCAAATTCCCTTAGCTAGAAGCATCTGCCGGAAAAAACAGTGCCGTTAGTGACAAAAATCTGCGGAGAACTATGCAAAAAACACATCTTCGCACCGGCAGTCGGTGCGCTGGCCATGTATTGCATTTTGTAGAGAGGTCGCCTGTAAACTATTAGGGCGTGATTGTGATGTTGCAATTTAAATGCCTGATGCACTTGTACAACACTAATCTTACGCCTGGTAGCCGCGCGTGAACATTAAACATCCTTAGAAAATTACTGCTTTCTACTTAGTCTGATTACCAAGTTAATTGGGTGTCAACAGTATCTAAAACTAAATTTTTTTTTGCGCGCACGTGAGACCTAGGTGTGCTTTACAGCTGTATTTGAAATATGAGTCATATACTGGTATAGAATATCCTCGTAAGGCTTCAGTTCCCTAGCTGGACTGAATGATGAAATTATTTTCCTCTACAATTGTCTTTAGAGTGTTTAGACGCGTGATACAGGTGTACAACAAAGCCCGTTTCACCTCTACGTACCCACGTATGGGAAGCAAATATTCTTGTAAAGTTAGAGCACTTCAAACAACTTAATTCCCAATTAGTATTTTGCCAGTGATGTCGAAGTCCACGCCACACCCAGGAGCACGAGAACGATAAAAAATTTTAGAAGGGTCGCGAGCAGGATGGGCGTTTCCTAAAATGTCTCTTACACATGACACTTTGTTCAATCCGTCTATTCTACTTATTTCAAAAGTTTCAGCTTCCTAGTTCCCTTGGTTTTCGAGTTAAAGTGGGTGACAAAATCGGACACACATGCACACATATACACAAACACAACCACTTGCTAACGTTGCATATGTATAAAGATGGAAAAATGCATAAAAAATAAATCAACGAGTGCAGCATTTGGTCAGAAGGGTGTAAAACTGAGCTGCAACAGCTTAAAATTTTGCTAAAAGACGCTAACGAAAAGTCCGAGTTTTTATTTAATATACTCATATTTGAGTTTTATTGATAAGACTGACACTTTTTATCCAAAATGGCTTATCCAAACTGAGATGCCGACGTTCAAGCAATTATTCCTTCAGAGCAAAACAGTGGTACCAAATTTCCACTAGTGCTGCTAAAAATTCAACCAAAAGAATTTTACAAATAAATGGAAGGCCAAAAACTTTCTTGAAAAGCTAATAAATCACAGAAGAAATAAATAGTGGCGCACACCGGGGTGATGCGTTTTGCACATTTCCGTCCAGCGAACACTTGCCTACTAAGGATTTACAGTTTTGCACTTCGGTCTGTGCAAAAATAGTTGAAATGTTGTTTGGTTTCTAATTTGCGAAATTCCCCACTAAAAATTTTACGTACCGGTGCGTGAAAGCTGGATTTGAAACCTTGAGCGGTGAACATCTTTCTAAAATTTCCACCTCTAATTTTCTAATTTCGAGGAATTTTCACGCCAATACTTTTGCCTGGTCGTAATTGAGACCTTGAATACTTGGGAACCAAATTTGACTTTGTGAGACCCCCGCATAGGCAGAAAAACGTCCTCCCTGTTTCAGGCTTCTAGCTCTTTCGGCCTCCAAGATAATTTTTCTCGCCAAAGCCAAAACTTTCACGGGTCGTTGGAACTCAGGCGTACGTGAGGACCGAATTTTAATATGCAGGGTCATACGTGGCAAAAGAAATGGCTGTAGATTTTCAGCTTCCTAGCATTCGTGGTCCCCGAGATAATAGTTTTCCCGCCAAAACTTTCGTACGTGGTATTGGGGGAAGGGGGCGTGAAAGTTGAAATTAAATCCGCGGGGTTACACGTAGGCGGGGACATTCTCCTAATTTTCAGCTTTTTAGCTTCTGTGGTTCCCGAGTTGAAAAATACGGAGAAAATGCATCGGAAATACACATGCACGCACAAACAACTCCGTGACAATGTGCGTTTTGTACACCTATTGCGCAACTTTAAAACGCACAAAAATAGATCTGTTGCCAAAACGCTAAAAAAAAAATGCCATGTTAGAAAATATAAGACAAGAAACGACCGCTGTTTGGTACAGGCATGCTGTGCTGGTCAGAAGGCGGCATTTTGGAAAATGAACCAATGGTAGATGTGTTCCTTTTGACTGTGTTTGACTTGTCACTGAAGTATTTAGAGGACGATGTTGAAGCATCTCAGAATGACCGTGATTGAACAGTTATGTAAAAGCCTTCTCTGAAAGATGTAGTAATTGAGGAAAAATTTTGTTCCAGCTCACATGGGTTGATCTGATGATATATACATTTTTCAAAGTATTGATGGAGCATGGGAAAAGCACCGATCTTGACGAATATCCGTTAACAAAGCAACTGTGTCGTAAAATCGCTGAAATATGTGAAGGAGCAAGCAGATGTCAGCAGGAAGACGAAAACTCCATGTAAAAAGTGCTCAGGCCGCGATAATACACTGAACTGGGACATACAAGGATGTTCAATTTAATTTTAATATTATTGAATCCTGACAGTACTGAAACCCATGTACTTCGCAACTGCGAGACTTTGAACGCGCAAAATTACGTGACTTAAATGATCAAGCAAAAGTTGGCTGTGCGGCGCATTGTTAAGAACCGAGTTGTCACGGGTCGATGAAACAAATTTAGAAGAGCTCACACATAACATAAACTACAAGAGAACAGAAAAAAATCAAAAGTGTGCAGTAATATGCAGCAGGTAATGTTTATTTGGAGTTTTAGAGTGGAGGCACTCCAAAACCTACGCGTTTAATAGCTTATTAAGACTATTAAGATGATTCAGAAAATCGGCGCGTGGAACCGATGTTAGTGATGCTGGAGGGATACCCCAACAGAGTGGACGAGATCCGGCCTAGTCGTTCTATACTAAGTTAATTGTAGCTAGTTAATATTTACCACCATTATATTATACACGTTACACTGTCATGTTTAGTGTACAATTTTTGTGGAATTATTGTAAATATTTTTTCGAAGGCAATAAGTAAAAAGTCATCTCCTTTGGCCCAAGCAGCTGTCCACAAAACTGCTTCAACAACGCTGTACATTGCAGTTTGCATAAGCGGTCGTTTGTGAGCAGATCTGGAACTGCTGTTCACTGCTACAAGAAAAGCCCGCGCTACTGAAGTAGCCACCACAACCGCTGATGTCGCTTTCTACAGTTGAGATTGATGTAGAAGCCAAGAAAATACAAATGCGTTAGTGGAAAAATGCGAAACTGGAAGAAGGAACCGCATTACTTCACTGCCTACCCAGATTTCTTTGTGATTTTGTCCTGCAAACTTTTTTGCAAGTCCAAAGCAAGGATTGCCTTGCTTCATGTTCTCGCCAATTCTATTTTTACGGAGTCATCAAAAAACAATGATTCCCTCGTGTGAATGGATAAATCTCTTTTACAGAGCTTCTGTATTCCAGTGCGCAATGCATACTTGAAGTTAACGAGTAACAAACACAACTTTTTATTCCCTGTTTCTCTGTGCCTACAGTGTTACACAGGATGCACAGACACTAGTGGAAAACGCTTTCTGAAATTTATCTGCTGTCACGTCGTCACAAATTAGATCAAATAAAAAGAGAGGCAGAAACATTTACGACAAGCGAAAACAAATCGCAAGTGTCGCAGCACCAAATAATATGATATGTATATATGAATAAATTCTGTTCCTACTTTTTCTACTCAGCATATTCAAAAATCTGGTGAGATTTTTGAAAGTGCTACTTGTGTAATAGTAACTGTGTAACTGTGCAAAAAAGAACTAGGGAACAAATTCGAAAACCAGCAATTCCTAAGCCATTTTTTAACTACGGTTTATTAAAACTTAAATGTGGTCAGGCAAAAAAAAAAGTCCAATAGCACCCTATGAGACTGGCAGCAGTGTAAGTATATCACAGAGGACTTCAAACAATACCACATTCTCACTGAAGGCAAGTTTGTAATTATTGTGTACAAAAGAATCTTAGATAACACGAAGAGAGTGTTAATTTAGTCTTAGCATTTAACTGAGATCGTTGCTATGAAATCATTAAGCAGCGACGCGCATCACGGCTGCCGGTGCGATCATGCGTTTTTGTACGGTTTTGTGCAACAATAAGATTGCTGACAGCTATAACGTCCATGACAATTTGACAACTGCACTCATGTTAGAAGTGTTTTTGTTTGCCGTTTTTATGCGTTTTTGCTGTGCAGCGCTATAGCGTTGCTACAGCCAGCAAAAATGCATATTGTCGA